GTTATGTTATTTTTATCAGATTTATTATCGATAATGCAGTTTTGATGTTCGACTTTGAATGTGTCAGGACGTCGCTAGATCAATCACCTAGTCGTATAAAGTATTAGTGTTATTCGTTTCTGAAAATTCTCAGTAACAACACTAAAGATAACACAGTGTTTGCTGAGACGCTCACCTGCTGATAAAATACAAGCAATAGCTAGCTTAATATAATAATAGGTCCTGTCTCTGTAGTAAGTTAATCTTTTGATTCTTTATACTAAATAGCTATGCTAACATGGTACCTATTCATCATTGTCTTCTTGTTGAAACCAAAGAATAACAGAAATGCATTCGTTATTAATGAAGGTCTAGAACATTCTGAAGGTAATAAAAGACAAAAGACTTGAATCTCTTTTATTATAATTATTACACAGAGATTTTTCAGTTACAATTTGATGATATACCTATCAAAATACCGTTCCTCGCTTAGTTACCTATGTCATGCATTTAATTCACATAATTGGATACCTAATTACCTAACTACTTATATAATAAAGCATATAGACTAGATACAAGAATACATTAGCTTCAAAATATGAGCATAAACCTCTATATTACCAATAATATAAATGTAAGTGTGAAATTTGAAATAGAGATAGATCATGATCTGGAACAACACATCGGCTACTTTTTATACCACGGGAACGAACTTGCAGAAGATAGAAGCTAATACTACATATATTTTTATTATAATGGATTATAAAGGATAATAATATCGTAGTAAAATAACGCCTGAAGTAATTAGCTTAGCAACTGTGCGCAGAACATCAAAAAGTTTTATATTATTATGTCAGGAGTTTTATGGATGTAAAGTTTTCACACCCTCGAGTAATTATCCAGATATCAACTCGCTTGGTTTGATTACATCATAATTCAATTATTGTTAAAAAGTTTATGTTTATGCTTCACATTTTGGGTTGCTAAAGGTTAGTTTGGGACCTCGGTAGTGTAAATAATTACATTTTAGATAAATCAGGCGTTAATTGGAACTCGAAAACTAGTTCTTGACTTATGAAACTCGACTTTAAGCCATTATATGTATGATGCATTCTAGATATGATATAGTTTTTCTCTATAACAATCCTAAAACATTTGATTTTGCTATAGAAATCTATGTGACTATGAAAAACTAATTCCAAGACCGAGTTAAATGACTTCATATTACCACAGAACGCAATCTTCAATCACTCGTATCCAGCCGTTACCAGTTATAAATGAAGATTCACGCTCTTGTTTTCAATTTCTTAACATTGATTTTCACTTGTTTTAAGTTGGCGGAATTTTTAAAAGTACATATAAGTCAACCAATAGGGTAGATGAGTAATTTTTATTTTAATGTCCGTCTGGTAGATTATTTAAACGCATTAGACACGTATTTTTTATTTTCTTACGGAAACGTTTTACGGAATAGTTTCGAAGATATATTGATTTAAAATATCGCATGACGTTACTTTTGAGTACGATTTATAGGTACTCTAAAAAACGGGAGCAGTGATTCGATGATTTTCCCCCCTAAAAAAAATACTCTAAAAAAACACAGTCGAATTGAGAACCTCCTCCTTTTTTCGAAGTCAGTTAAAAAGACGTAGCTACCGTCCCCACTCCTAAACTTTGTGTCGTTTTATCTAAGTATTGTTTTCGTGTATACGATACAATTAAAAAATACGAATCTAATATTTTTTCAGTACCTAACTGACGGGCTAATTAGGTTTTTAATTTTCATACACTGACATCATTCCTATTGTATTGAAATTGTACATTCACAGAGTCTGGAGTACTGAGAAGAGCTTAAGCTATCACGCTAGCAAAAAATACGATCTGTGTAGTCTTACTAATAATTTAAATAACATTTTGAATGCGTAAGTTTGTGACCGTGTTTGTGTCTGTGTACATGTTGTGTTAGGTACTCAATCATGTCAAAACGGTTAGAGGGTTCATGATGAAATTTGGAAAAGGATTAGATTATGGTCGGGATTCAAATATGGCTACTTTTGATTACGCTGGCTTAAGCTAGTTTTTTTTTAATAAATATGACTTGTTTACCGCAAAAAACATTGAAGAAATACCCAAATAAATATAGATAATAAATGAATAAACAAAGTACTCGAGTCAATTGTAAGTATATCCTATTCATGTGTTAATAATCTGGCCGTGAGTTCGGGAGTCTGCCTGAACAGTTTGAAAGCAGGCGCTACTCTTCGTCGTACAGAGGTGGCTTGTCCAACTCCTGGTGTTTGCTGGCCATCTCCGACGTCAGAGCTTGCTTCAGCTCGTGCTGCCAACATGGGAGAAGTCTTAGATTAGTACATCACTTTTAGTACCTAAATATAAGTGTTACCTATCTGCATGGAGGAATAGCCCTGTGTATGGAACTAATATCGTTAATTTCTCCTTTAACTCGTCGAGTACCGGTTTTGTAGACACAATTATAGAACAATAGGTTGCGGTCACCGGTGACCGCTTGGTGTTTGACAGTTTAAGGAGAAAATTTAAAGCAAAATACCTTGGATTCAGTTTTTAATTTGAAACATACTAAGTATTGTCTCACCTGTGACACAGGATTATCCTAGGACAGGCACCTAACCATGTGAGATCTATTAGAAATATTTTTGTATCTGTGTCCATTTACTGAATAAAGATTTTATTTATTTATTTAGATATTTTTTATTTATTTTGGGTTCAAAGATGAAAAACCCTTATGTAGGTAGCTATCATCAACATGAATTGATGAACGCCCCACACTTTCGCTTCCGACAAAAGACCTTTTCTGTCATTGACAAGAAGTGAGCATTTACACTGGTTGGCGATTACACTTAGTAAATATAGGTAATAGATATGTATCTAATTGCTCATTCGTTCTCATGAGAGCCTTTAGCCAACAATAGAAACATTTCAGACTGATGATGATTCATGGTAGAATGTAATACTGGTAATACTAACTACGAAGTGGCGACACAGCCTGGTGAACTGTCCGCAGTCGAGGGCGAGTTGAGGAGCGGCCCGCTTGCCGCCCGTCCAGTCGCGACTGAACGTGATCTGCGCAGACACCAGCGCCGCCGCCAGGACGCAGGCCGCTATCACCGCCAGACACCTACTGTTTAGGGAAAAACAAACAGTGTAATCATTAAAATTTGAAATGGAAGTGCTAAATGATTGCATGGCCGCTTGGGAGCTGCTTCGGCACGAATGGGTTCGCTCAACCAGAGTGATACCACAAATAAAGCGTTGTATGCAGCCGTATGAGTTTCCGGAGGCTCATATCCCTCTCCTAAATTCTTGTAGTATTACAGACTCATTTTTCAATAAGGTATAAATTAGAATAACTATGCTTTTTTATTATACATCTACGGTCAATTTTAATATGTAAGAAAATGGAGAGCAATAATAGTAGGTATTAGGTACCTATGTTATATTTGCCGTTCGTTTCATAACAACTTCGTGAACAAATTGTACCTACATTCAAAGTTCTTGTCTCCAATACATTACAAGTACAGATTTATATCAAACAGTGTACAAAACTCGATATTTCGATTAAACTATTGCAACAACCTGTCGTCGCCTATAAGCCGTCGTATTTTTATCGACAACGAATCCCACAGGAGTGTGTTCTATTCCAAATATCATGTCGAACTAAAACTGTATGCATATCCAATACCAGTCAATGCAGTTTACATATTGTTTCGGAGTTCGACAGTTGTGGAATACATGTAAAAAGCTATACATAATTATGTTTATACGATAGTGTTTCTCGCCTGCAGCTGTAGCCAAATGCCATTTAGCGCTTGTCTACATGTAGAATAGAAAACCAAATTATATGGAATTGACGTAAATTTTGATACTTGTCAGTGTCATCCCCATACATTTTGATTTCTACTCTCTCTGTAGACAAGCGCTTAAGTGGCGTTTGGCTAAAGGCACTGGTGGTAAGCGATGATGCGGCCTACGATGGAGCACGTCTGCCTGTAAGCAACCTATTCACTCGGGTCTTGAAGACAGTTAATGGCGGATAAGCAAAGCACGTTGCAATTTATTTCACTGTCTTAAAAGCTATCTAGTAATAAGTGATAATTCGGAGTCGCGGAGAACCTAACAGGTTACCCGGGCTCCGGCTCGAAGTGCAGTGCTCCGTTCAGTAAGAGTCTGACACTTCCTCTCGCCTTACCTGGGCGAGAGAAGTAATTGGATGATTTTCCCCCCTCAAAAAAAGGGCTATAGAATTGTAGACTATAAAACATCATGCTGCAATCAATTGGAGCCGAGCAGAGCGGGTGATATCACGCAGAAGTATCACTACATAGTATAAAACAAAATCGCTATCCGCCGTCTGTCTGTCCCTATGTATGCTTAGATCTTTAAAACTACGCAACGGATTTTGATGCGGTTTTTTTTAATAAATAGAGTGATTCTTAAGGAAGGTTTATATGTATAATACATGAATATTGAACCCGTGCAAAGCCGGGGCGGGTCGCTAGTCTGGTATAAAAATACAAGTCATGTTTCATTAGTAGTACCTATAGTAGAAAACACAACACAATGTTGTGTTACGAAGATTATAAAAAACATAAACAATCACACAATCTTCAAGACATCCTAATCCCGCCATAAAATCTAGTACACGACCACGTCATAGACAATACTAAGTCTACATTACTATGTGAGGCGCTCCGCCGGCCCTTTTAGTCACGGGATCAGCAGGACTTGTGACATTCGCACAAACAACAGACATGTCAGCTAACTATGATATGTTACTCGTGTTACACGACCTCACTTATATCTTACTTATTTTGCTATTTATTATTATAGACCATACTTGTTGCTTTTTTCTTTTATCTTTTTAAACTAGATAGATTAAGGTAGACGTCCGTCTGGTACATTATTTAAAACACATGCTTTTTATTTTCTTACGAAACATTATATTTTCCCTTTTGTACTCAAAAATAATATAGCTGGCCCCCACTTTGAAACTTTGATTTGTTTAATGTAAGTATTGTGTTTATTTATTTAGTCTTTTATGTACACAATTTGATTACGGCACATAAAGCGAATTTAATGCCATATGGCGTTCTCTACCAGTCAACCTTAGGGTTTAAGTAGAAAATCTGCGAAAAATAAGGTACGGAGAATAAACTAACAGCATAGAGAGAGAAGAAAAAATATGGTAATTATTAATTAACCCGTCGTTTGCCGGAACGTAGATCTACGCGAGACACAATGCATTTTCTATTGTGTCTTATATACCGGCAGTCAAGAGGTTAATATAGCTACACATATATATTACATAATAGTTAATACATGGTTACATAATAGTAAACTGTAAAGGTTTTTATATACCTACTTACAACAAAATAAAAAATACGTGTCTAATATTTTTTCATTACCTTACTGACGGACTAATTACATTTTACCCTATCACTGTGACCGTAGAAAATAAGAGTTCGTTTGTCGTCATCCCTACTCGCTATAGATGTCACACGAGGTACCTATGAGACTAGGAGACACATTTGATGAAAATCGGACAACAGAGTTCTTTGATGAACTTGATCCGTGATATAAAACTGTGATCTCCGACTCACCGAGCGAGGGATGGTAAACCCTCTAAAGTGCTTGCTTTTTCTTATTTAATACATGATGTTTGAGAATAAATAACGTATAGTAAGGTTGCGGAAGATAGATCATAACGTCTACTGGGCAAAACCAGTCATGACGTAAACCAACCGTAAATGGAATCTCAAAATAACAACACCATAGTATGAAACGCTGTCCGACGGTTGGTGATCCACTCCCCTGGTGCTAGTCTTACTACAACGGGATTTATTGCAAGCCTACGTGAGCGTAATGCCAAACACCGGCCTCAGCTTTAGGCTCAGAATAATTATTTTCTCTTTCTCATAGCTTTTCTCAATTAGTTATGGAGGTCGGGACGGTTCCACCTTGACGTCAAAATTTTACATAGAGTGAGTGTCATCTGCCCTGCATAAACATTCTCGCTCGCCATTGGTTGATATTGTTCTTACAACCACAGGCATGGCGGACCGCGATCGAGCTCACTTTGGGAGTTCGAATTGACATCTTACAGAAACCTAGCTGCTAGGAATGATATATCTATCTCGTGTTTGACACATTGAAAGATTTATAAGACTTCAGATTTTGGGACGGGACCAACGGTTATTCGTGCTCTCTGAGGAGTTAATGACTATTGTTGATATAACATAAGAAAACAATTGAATCAAGGTTTTTGACTCTTAACGACTTTAATATTTTGACGATTAAAAATATTAAAATTTATTTCCTCGAAGCGCTCCTATGATTAACTTTCGGATAGAGATGGGACTATACTAATTGAAATTATCGATGATAACTACTTAGGTAACAAGTACCTAGGAATTTAGAGGAACAAAACGGGAGCGCTACGAGGAAGACCTCGCTTCACTGATGTTGGATGTTAACAGCTTAAGATCGAGCTCAGATAGGCTATTCTGTAAGATGTCGTAAGTGAACTCGATCGCGGTCCGCCATATTAATGGTTGTGCGACAATTGACATCTTACAAAATAACTTAGCAGTGGAGACCTATGTCCAGCAGTGGATGAAAACGGACCAGTCATGATGAGGAAAATTGACAATACATAATAGTCTTAAGTTATATAATACAGGATGTAGGTAAATCGGTACTTTCTTCATCTCATCCTACGATCCATCTCACATTGATGTTTCTTTAAATTCTCAAATCCTTTAAATCTTCTTAAGATAAAAAATATCTACGTAGATAGATGCTATCTGGGAGTATCGATTGAAATCATCGTTACAAATAGAAAACACAATATGTTATTGAGGATTATCGATTTTTGAGATATAATTTGACATTGAAAGCCATTGAAGGATGTTTTATTTTATGTTGTTATTGATTTTTGAAATGCATCTAGGAAATTTAACGAAGATTTTAGTAGCTTTTAATTTCCTTTCCATATTATAAACAAAAGTTACGTAGCACCTAAATTAACCGCTTACTTATACCTAATGTTAGGTCTCATTTATAGGTTGATGAAACCAATAAGTCGTTAAATGATAACCAAAAAGTCGGTATCTGAGTTTAGAGATTCCTTAAAACTTAGCTGAGGCTCGTACAAACGGGCATAAGACGTCTAATCTAAGTAATCCCTTAGGACTTAAATGGAACATAAAAAAAACATGGAAAGATACAGAGCAGAGGTACACATTTTTCAATGAAACACCATAATTAGTGTATGTGTCCCATTGGATGTAAATAGAGGACGATTATATTACCAGTATTTGCGACAATCCGAAACACCTTTGCCCGACCTACCACTCGAATCCACAACGCCTCGCTTGTCCATCGCGCACTAACACAACGACATATAGTAGGAGATCCCGCCTTGAACGACCTTCACCGAGATGCTTATTTGATGAAACTTATTTTATATTCAATTTAATATGTCAATAATTATATTCCGTATGGGTTGCCTAATAAATTTCAGTCCAGAACATGACTAATTATTAATTTAAAAAATATATTTTTTCAAATGTTTCACCGGTTTGACTATTAAACAAATTCCATTTCAATCGAAAGTATGAAGCCCATAGAATATGGAAACGTTAGGTTGCCTATTGTATTCCAGTCATAACTCTCGGGTTGCCAGGTCTAAACAGGTAAATTTATAGTAGGATTTTGCAACGGTCTGATAATTTAATCAAATTTAATTAAAAATAAAGATTATTTAATTATGAACACGGTAAAATAGGGTTGCCTGCGAAAAATCAGTCCTGAATTAGGGTTGTCGAATTTTAAAAAGTGAAATATTGCCGCGAGTGAATAGGTAAGACTGAGAGGTCCCAAGCAACCGTTCCGTGCGTTAGAAGAGGACAGAGCATAACAGCTGCTTTTTAATGCTGCTGCTGCTATTTTTGTGTCATTAACAGAAGCTGCTGATATTTTCATTGAAGATAAAATAAAAATAGTTCAAGAATTTATAGCTTGTATGTATAGGATTAAGAATTGCACTAATGTGAATAATGCAAGATATCGCATTATTATGAAAAATTACTCTGCTAAAGAAGACAGTGAGCAGTTTCTAAAAAAAACAAAAAAAATCACTGTTTATTACCTATACAAAATTATAAAGAAATATATTTTTTTATTATTCAGCTCCTGAGTCATCGGAAATAAAGCTTAGATCTTCGACACCTGCATCTTCTTCGTCATCTCTCTCTGTTTCGGTTCTTTCAACAATATCATCTATTCTTAAAGGTGCATGATCCCCAATAAATCCTCGTGGTTTTAAATATTCATCTAAGTACCAACCACAGCTCTCAGATTTAAGTTTGATACATATTGGATCTGTTGCATTCAGCCACATCGAATTTACTTAAATAGTTTGTAAAACTTTTTGTGGTAATGATATGCAGCACGGAGGTATGGAGTTAGAGTCAAAGCCTTTGATTTTTTTTAGAAACTGCTCACTGTCTTCTTTAGCAGAGTAATTTTTCATAATAATGCGATATCTTGCATTATTCACATTAGTGCAATTCTTAATCCCATATGTACATACAAGCTATAAATTCTTGAACTATTTTTATTTTATCTTCAATGAAAATATCAGCAGCTTCTGTTAATGACACAAAAATAGCAGTAGCAGCATTAAAAAGCAGCTGTTATGCTCTGTCCTCTTCTAACGCACGGAACGGTTGCTTGGGACCTCTCAGTCTTACCTATTCACTCGCGGCAATATTTCACTTTTTAAAATTCGACAACCCTAATTCAGGACTGATTTTTCGCAGGCAACCCTATTTTACCGTGTTCATAATTAAATAATCTTTATTTTTAATTAAATTTGATTAAATTATCAGACCGTTGCAAAATCCTACTATAAATTTACCTGTTTAGACCTGGCAACCCGAGAGTTATGACTGGAATACAATAGGCAACCTAACGTTTCCATATTCTATGGGCTTCATACTTTCGATTGAAATGGAATTTGTTTAATAGTCAAACCGGTGAAACATTTGAAAAAATATATTTTTTAAATTAATAATTAGTCATGTTCTGGACTGAAATTTATTAGGCAACCCATACGGAATATAATTATTGACATATTAAATTGAATATAAAATAAGTTTCATCAAATAAGCATCTCGGTGAAGGTCGTTCAAGGCGGGATCTTAGACTAATATGAGGTATATATATAATACATGATTAACATGTAAGACCCCAATAAATATGATTTATTGTAAGAATTGTAACTACCTATGTAGAGGTGCCATGCATCAAATTCTGTCTATTCAAACCTTTACAGGTCCGCGGTGAATTATGACCGAACTCCTTTTAGAAAGATGAGATCCTCACTACGGTGCTATAAATGTATTTTATAAAGTGACATATTTAAGTATGCGTATGAGTGTGTGTTTAATAATATTTCGACCACTTCAGAAAACTTACAATTTTTTTTTAACCTTGTCCCACATTAGGATTTTCTCCTGTGTCGTGGGTGCGTTTACAAACATACAAGTTCACATACACAATGACACCCAGACCCGGAACAACAATTTGTGCATCACACAAAGTGTTGTTCCATGCGGGAATCAAACCCGCGACACGTTGCACGGCAGCCGGTTGCCCAGCCACCGCACCAGCCGTGCACCGCAACAATAATTACTGTAAGTTTTCTGCAGTGTTCCAAATATTGTAGACGTTTTCTATTCTCCGATGGGATGGCAGTGCAGCAGTGGTTTATTAAATTCAATTAAATAATAAATTAAGTGTATTTTTTATGCTATAAGCCGGTAAACGAGCAGACGGATCACCTGATGGTAAGCAATCGGCGTCGCTCATGGACACCCGGAACATCAGAGGCGTTACAAGTGCGTTACCCACCTTTTGGGGATTAGGAGTTTTGGGTTTTGGAATTGAGTGATTGATTTTATTTTGCTAACAGGTTATAAGTAAAAAAATATTCGCTGAAGAATAATTTGACATAAACATGACACAAATAGTGGTTTTACAAGTTGAAGTTACATAAAATAAAACTAACCTGAACTTCCTGAGTACCTACTGAGCCTGTACCTATTTTGCCAAATATAATGTGTGACGATCTTGCATTCGCTTATCAAGTTCAAAGACATAACTAAGCTTCCATTTTAAAACGTAACTCAGGTAATTGACAATCGTGAGGTAGTTTACCGTGAACAAGATTCACTTGGTACAAATCTTTGGAAAACTTTTTTATTTTTTGTTTTAGTTCTTTATTTATGTAAATGATTATAAGTTAAAATTAAACTACCAACTTAACTAAAAGTTATCCCAATTCCATAAAGTTTGTCAAATTAAAAACTTAACAAACGCGTTTATCTTTTATATTTACAACTGTATTTTATAATGCAATTATTGAATTATTATTTCAGTTCCCTATTTACACATAATCCGCAAAAAAGCAACAATTCCACACACCATTTTTAAATACCGCCAAAAACACCGCGAATTCAAAAAACTGGCTATACTTCGTTCACAAAAGCACGTATTAAAAAAAAATAAAACAACCCCTATTTTCGAAAACTTACCTACAACGTACCCCCGACATGTCTTGGCTCGTTCCTGAAGCACAACAGTGGCCAGCAAAGCGCGGCAACCACCTTATATAGAAGAGCTAAACCGCGCATACTGCCACGCACACCTACGAAAAGGATTAACTGAAGATCTCCTTCGGGAATAATACAAGATATTTTAAAAAGAACATAAGACTTTCATATTTTTCAATTTCCTTTACTTTAATAGGGAGGTGTATCTTAACGTGTTGTGTTTATGAAAGGGTTCTGTTTGGTAGAAGCATGATGCATGAATGAGGTGGGAAACTGAAAATTTACATTTGAAAATTTCTATGTTGCCTTGCACTCGGATTTTTTCCCGAGGCGTGTGTGACTTTATTTATTACTTTATAAGTATACAAACATATAATTCCACAAATATATCTAGATTCGTAACTTAATTAGTGGTTGCACAATAGATATTTCGTGCGGAAATCGAATGTGCAAAACGATACGTTGCGCGGCCGTCCAGTGAGTATAGCTTAATCTTAAATAATTAAATTGTGTGAATTTATTAGTGAAATCAAAGAATTATAATTGACTGCATTTTCGATTAGTCGGTACCTACTCGTAGTACGACTGACGAGCACGTGGTCATAGGTTCAGTTCAGTACCTAAATTGTACACATAACTGTATAATAATGATTCCTTATTTGCATTTCTTGACTCATAGCATAGGAGACTACTAATACATATATGGTACCAACTCGAAAATCGAGACGTCGCGGTCAACAGACAAACTTACATAAATAAATTTACTTTTTAAAAATATCTAAATAATATTATCATCGCATCTCTTCGCCATTATACATATGATGCATAATATTTCCTAATCAAAAGAAAAGAAAAACAACGAAAATGGTTGACATTTTCACAGGAGACTTTTATTTCAGTTTCACTCGTAAAATTATTTAATTAAATTATATTATGGACATTAATACGGTGTAATTCGTACATTAGGATAATGGAACTGGGTCTAAGGAGTTCCTAATGGCGTACTTTTTTTTTAATATTATTTATGGCCAGTCCTTGTGGACTGACGTTGCCTGTGGGAAGTTCGGAAGACAAATATTTTTTTTTTTGACTGGCTCGATTTTTGAATGGGTTAAGTGATAAGTTCCGATCAAGGCCGCCATTCCAGTTGTACAAAACGGTCGTTTTAATTTTGCTTCCGAAAATTATAATAGGTTATGGGCCCAGTATGTCCTATAGGTTTCTAGAAGGAAGATTGATTTGTGTTTTCATTTTTCAAAATTTTCTCAAAACTTAGGTAATAGGTAGTTGAGTCTGGAATATTGTGCCGTGCTGTCTGGCCATGGGGTTAGGTTTAACCCCATTTAGGTCCATGGGACTCATAACACACCTGGTGAAATGTAACTCATCATAACGAATAAAAACGGATTTTTGTTAAATTAAAAGTACCCTTAACCGACGAGCATGCATGATAAGATTGACGACTGTTGATGAACCGAAAGAAGTATGTAAGAATCCTATCATAGGGTAGTTTAGTAAATTTTATTTTAATGACCGTCTGGTACCTAGATTTTTAAAACATTAGACACATATTTTTTCTTTTCTCCTAATTTTAAATACTTTCGACAACATTATCGTGTGACGTCACAAGGTGCTACATTTTTCGTAGCACGTTGCGACATAACGACCTCCCACTCCTAAACTTAATGACATTTTATCTAAGTATTGTAACTTTATACGAGAAAACAAAAATACGTGTCTAATATTTTTTTAATTATCTTACTGACGGACTAATTTGGCAACTACCACATTGGCGTTCCATAGTCTCTGCCTACCACTGTGGGAGATGTATGGGTATATGTATAGACTTTTTCTTTAGATGGCAATAAAAGGTGAATTTTGCTTTACGCTCCAGGCATGTTTGGAGATTAAAACCTAGACTTTTCAATGACGATGACTCTCAAAACAGATAAAACCCTCAAACCCTCAAGAGAAGAGCATATTCCTTTTTAAAAGCCCGACCACACCTGTGACTCCTCTGGTGTTGCGGGTGTCCATGGGCGGCGCTGATCGCTTACCATCAGGTGATCTGTGGTGGTGTGGTGGCTTTATCCCTAAACAGCGGAGCCGCGGAGGACTTAACGGGTTGCCAAGGCTCCGGCTCGAAGTGCAGGAGTAGGAACGGGGTGGTTTTTAGTCAGTAAGAGTCTGACAGTCTGACACTCCCTCCCGCCTCACCCAGGCGGAAGAAGTTATTGGATGATATAACCCCTTAAAAAAAAATCCGTAAACAGTACTTACGGGTAACATTCAAAACACATTATTTAAATGAAAATGTTGCTCGCAAATGACAAATATTGCTGGGTTCCTCTCGCTACTCACAGCGAATGTAGACTTTTTAACATTTTTTGATAGTACATCAGAGACCCTAAATCCGAATTTTTTTTAGGCTTGTGTTATTATCACCTATGTAGTAGGTATGCCTACATTGCATATTTTTTATTATTTATTATTGGTTTTTTAGCAAAGGAATAAATGTTAAATATGCAATGTTTTCTTTTATAAGATCTGCGATTGGCCACTGTTTGACTTACGCTACCGTCGTTCTATTTTTTATGGGATAAACCGGTAACCAAGTATACTAATCACTGGATGGTAAGCAATCGGCGTCTCCCATGGATACCCGAACATCAGAGGCGTTGAGGATTCAGTATTTGTAAGGGGGGGTGTTAGGACTCCGGTAACCTCACTCACCTGATAAATCGTGACACAAGCGTTGTATCACGTCGGTTTTCTATGAGGCCGTGGTATCACTCCGGTTGAGCCGGCCCATTTTTGCTGAAGCATGGCTCTCCCACAAACTTGCTGAAATAATATAGGTCCAATGACTTTCAGAGAGAATGTGGGTGGAACTTGTGGGTGGAACGTCCTATGATTTTGCGAGTAGAGATAATTTTACCAGCACCTACTCATAAATATCCCTAAGGTCTGACACATTTGACCCCTACTCCTAGAAAAGCGTAGAATAAAGACATAATATATGTATTTACACCCATAAACAAACTTAAACCGCTTAAGAACATACCTCAACAGAGAAAATACGTCTTTAAGAACATTGTACAACGTAAATAAAACATTCAAACGTTTCCTTTTGATGTATTGTAGTTCACATTCACAAGTGTCGCAAGTACCGTGCGAGCCGACAGATGTCGCTTTACAAAATGGCGCCTATTGTCATGTTATTTATGAATTTCAATGCGATATGCGATATCCTTTCTTATTGAACACTATTGTGAACCACAAACGTCTTATAAACAATCTTCTTAGTATTTGCTTTGTATGTGTGAAATTATTTTTCTAAAATTACCACTCTTTGCTTTGGATTTAGTCTAAAAATGTTTGGGTTGAGGATTTTCTTGGGAATATGAATGAATGTGTCCCGTCTTTTTGATTTTCATAGCGTTTAATCATCAACCTGTTTACGTCTACCAGTTAACATAGACCTAAAGATAGTAAGTGTGGGAGAGCCATGCTTCGGCACGAATGGGCCGGCTCGACCGGAGTGATACCACAGAAAACCGACGTGAAACAACGCTTGCGTTGTATTCCCTCGTGTGAGTAAGGTTACCGGAGGCCCTTCCTCAATCTCCACAATCCCTGACTCCCCAACAATAGGCGTGTCGACAGGGTAAAAAAATCAAAAAAGGAATTAGTCCGTCATTAAGATCGCACGAAAATATTAGACACGTATTTTTTGTTTTATGAAATTAACAGAAGAATACGTAGTTATTCCGCATTAATGTTAGGGAGTGGGGGGTGTTGACGTCACACTTACGGAGAAATCGTACCTAATTGTGACGTCACGCGTCATTTTAACTCAAAATATCTACATGTTTTTTTGGATACGAGAAAAAAGAAAAAATACGTATCGAAGATTTTTAAAATATCTAAAAGACAGACATTAAATTAAAAAGTAGTCGCCATGCCTATTCGCAATTAAAAGGCCGGTAACGCATTTGTAATGCCTCTGGTGTTCTGGATGTCTACGGATGACACCCTGATTGCTTACCATCAGGTGATCTGTCTCCTAGTTTTACCGACTTATCCCATTAAAAAGACCCCTTCTCCGGTAACATGCCACTGAGTTCGATCGTCAGCTCTTTGCATCGAACCACCTCGTGAATATCGTCACGCCACCTAGCTGGGAGGCGCGCTACACAAGGTTCACCTCGATGGTTTGAGTCCTCGTAACAGCGACCACAGCCTCTCTTCTGCTGGGCTATTCTTTAACTGTCAATTCAAAATTTTGAAGTGAGCTCGTTCACATTGACGGCCGTCATTGGTCGAGATTATTTTCACAACCAATGGCGGACCTCCATTTTTAATTTTGGCATTGAAAGTAACATAATAACTTAACTTATACGGGTTGCCGGTCGCGGAGAACCTAACGGGTAACCGGGGCTCCGGCTCGACGTGCAGGAGAAGGAACGGGGTGGTTTTTAGTCAGTAAGAGTCTGACACTTCCTCTCGCCTCACTCAGGCGGGAGAAGTTATTGGATGATTTTTCCCACTCAAAAAAAAAATCATAACGTAATTCCATCTAGCCCCCTGCTACGCGCCTTTCTCTAACTTCTCTTACTCTTAAGATTGAGTAGACACGACATTATACTCATAACATATCAGTTGTCACTATATCTCAAATTGTCGCTTCTTCTTCTTCATTAAAAAAAAAAAACAAAAGTATAAACTGAAATAATATTTTCTTAATTAAAAAAGGACCTTGATTTGTCGTCCTTAAAACGTAAAATCCATTGCAACCAAAACAATAACGGTTGTATTTATTTCATTGTTATTGCAACTTATTCTCTGATGACCACGTGACATACCAATAATGGCGCTAAAATGCAATTATCATTAGTCAATTGCACATTTTCACGGTAAACAAATTTATTAGGTATAGTGTCAGAGTCAGATTACCTACCTACTTATTATAAGTACGTTCGTAAGTATCAGATTATTTATGCTATTGTTAAAGTTAATTCTCGTAAGGGCAATGGACTTGAAATTATGTTTATCTATCGACGTGTTTCATGTGTTTAACTTGAGAG